CTGAGCCGGCCGCCCCGGCACGGAGTAAAATCAACAGCTAGCCGCAAACGCGCGGACACACGCATCCTTGCGCGCGCACGGCCCGCGGACCTGCAAAAGCTGTTCCTAAAACTGAACTGATACTCCTCATCCCCACGCATTTCCTCAGCGATACGCCTCCTGAGAGACACTGCCCGCGATGTGTGCTTGTGGGTACGGGTGTTTATTTACACACAACCTCAGCTGCCGCGGCCACAGAGGTGTACTCATCCTCTATCATGAGCTACCTATTTCCGAATTGTAACGTTCTGAGAAGAAAAACGAAACAAAACAGCTAAACGGCAAAAGAACAGAGTGATCGCAGAGTGTACACCTTAATAGGTACAGAAGTTGGGGGGGTTGCCCACATGTCTGACCATTACAGACCGGCTCAGGGTCTAATTCAAAGTCGACTAGCACGTACAGCGCATCTTACTTTAAAAATTGTAGCGACTGAAACGTGTTCCGTATTAACTTAAAAGAGCTGTAATTTTGTTGTTGTTGTTTAAATTTCGCCCGCTGAGCTCTTGCAGGAGATAAGCCAGCACGTCTCAGTCCAAACGTTTTCCTTTCATTTGAAATCAGTGAAGGGACAATATTTAAAAGTGCGGCTCCGAAGTGCGTTCAAAAGTAAAGAAATACAAAATTTTAAAAAGTGGGCTGTTTTTCGCCATGGGAAAACTTTAAGAATAATCTCACAACATGGCTTGAAGGAACGGTCTGCCAATGAATTGTGCACTGGAGAAGGAAAGACTCAAGTACTTTATTTCAATTCGGAGTTACAAAGAAGCCAGGAAAGATATCTTAGGTGGCTGGTTAAGTACTTGCTCCCCAAACTTTCAGTAAAACAATTACTGCCAGTACCTCAGTGTCGCACAAAGTTCTGGCTTGGCAAACCCAGCAGACGACACTGAAACGGATCAGCATGACCCAGCAGCACAAATAATAAGCACGCTCGAAATTCCTGCTTTGGTTTCTCTGTAGTGTCAGGATTGGCAACTCTCACGTTTTATCAGTTACCAGATTTTAATGTGAGGAAGGAAGCGGTTCCATTATCTAAATATACCCAATTGTTCGCGAACAGATGATGGGCAATTTGATCTGCTCTGTCTAATTCATCAGTACAGATAAGATAAGAAAGAAAAGGCAGCCAGATATCACCAAAGGGGTTAATATTTAAAAAGATTAAATGTCAGTTATTTTAGCAAAGAAACATTTCGGTCTAGGTTTTACCCTCCACATAAAAGTACCCTTCATTCTGAAGAAAACTTGAGTTTTGTTTTTGTTTTTCTTTATCTTTCTTTTTTTTTTGTTGTTGTTGTTTTTGATAGGCCTGGTTTAAATAGTTGTTTGTTTTGTTTTTGTTTTGGGTTTGGTTTTTTTTTTCGCGTGTATTTATTTTTACCGCATACTTGCTCGAAGTGCCTTTCTTATGAATGCCACTATGTCTTTGCAAAGACTCAGAGAGACGCGTTTCTCACATCTTGTTAAAAAGCGATCAGGTCCTTGTTGCCCACAATAGCTACACCACCGAACATATTCTCCATTACCTACGATTTCCCACTTTGTTAGGATCACAGGATGCATTGCCAAAGTCCTCAGGAGGGTCCCACACGGTCGCTAGCTGTTCCCGAACGCGGTTTTGTTTATACAGAAATTTACATTTGAATCTGTGGAAGAGAAAACTTGACGGCTCTAACTTTTCTTCCTCGCCTGTCTATCTATTGGGAAATCACTTAAAAACATACCAGGTTGTCTTTTCACCCTCTTTCTCACAATTTTTCATCTTCCTGCCTCTGTCAGTTTTATATGACAAACAGATAAATAAATAGATAAATAAAAGCAATCTCACCGAAGAATTAAACAACGTAAATGGCGTACCTGATATAATCTCTTTTACAGTAGGTTTTGCCATCCCTAACAAAGCACGTACAGGTCTCGTCCAAATACTGATTACACTCTGCACACTTCAAACACGCCGCGTGCCATTCCAAATCCGGCGAAACCCTCAGAATATACTGATCGTGAATCTGATTGCCGCAACCGACACATAGGGAAATCAGGCGTTTTTCTGAAATGAAAATAAATACATGATTGACTAACCGTTTGCTCTCCTACAGAGATAAACACACTTTTAGTGTCGTTCACTTATAGGGCGTACTCTGGGAGCGGTTTTTTGTTTGTTGTGGTTTTTTTTTCTTCTTCTTTTTTTCTCTCTCTCTCTCTCTTTTTTTTTTTTTTTTTTTTTTTTTTTTTAAGAGTATCACACTTCTGGACGGTAACTGAAGTCTGCCACCAAAACCTTGCCTTCTCTGGAAGGGAGGCGGAAAGATGTTAAAATGCAGATGCGAGCGGTCTTCGGGACGAAGGTCCTCGTCCCGCAAGCCTCGCGCGGAACCACAGCTCCGAACTCCCTCGTCGCTTTTCCGTTTGCTTTACCGTCTGCGTGTCTGGGGTCCTGTCCTCACGGGGAGGGCAGCCCGCACCTTCGATTTCCGTTTATGTTTTTGGTTAGTTTTTTCGGTTTTTT